CAGTGTGAACATTGTCTCGGGGTCAGCTGGGGATTTAGAAAGTAGAGCCAGGATCACTGTCATGGCCTTAGTCATGATCATCCTACACTAACAGTTATTGTCCACAACAGTGCACTACCTCTTCCTTTGGGGACTACAGGGACACAATAACTGAGCATGTATTCCTGAGAAAGTAGTTTTCAAACAAGTGTTTGACCACTTACACCATAAAGATCTTTTTGAAGAGTTTCAGTCTGTCATTAGAGCTCCTGATAGCACTGAAACAGTTCTGGTGAAAGTCAGTAATGATATTCTCATGGCTTTAGATAATGGACTTGTATCTGTGCTTGTCCTCTTAGATCTCAGTGTTGCATTTGATACAGCTGATCATAGTATTATTTTAGAAAGATTGGAATATTTGTTTTTAGAAATTAAAGGAACAGCACTAGACTGGTTTAAATCTTGTCTACAGTATCTGACCCATTTCAGTTTGTTCACATTAATGATAAATCTACCTCATGCTTCAGGGTTACCTATGGAGTACCACAGGGATCAGTGCTAGGGCCAATTCTCTTTACTATATATATTCTCTCCTATCATATCTCTCCTATTCTTGCTTCTCTTCATTGACTTTCTGTTAAACCAAGAATAGAATTTAAAATCCTCCTTCTCACATATAAAGTCTTAAATGGCCAAGCTCCATCTTATATCAGAGGTCTGATTGTTCCTCATGTTACTAAAAGAGCACTTTGCTCTCATTCTGCTGGTTTACTATTGGTTCCTACAATTTCCAAAAGTAGAATGGGAGGCAGATCTTTTAGTTATCAGGCTCCTCTCCTGTGGAACCAACTACGAGTTTTAGTCCATGAAGCAGAGACCCTTTTTGATAAAACTTGGAGTGGCACAGGTTATCCTGAGCTATCTCTATATTTATGCTGCTATAAGCTTAGATTTCTGGAGGACATAGGGATTCTTTTTCATCATTCTGCTTCATTCTATCTCTATTCTCCTTCTCTGTGGAATCTGTTAGTTTAATCTGGAAAAAGCAGAGAGAACGTTATGCTCTCTCTGCTTTTTCTCATAGTAGCTTCCCCTCATCTGTTCCTGTTTGGCTGTGACACCATCTTAGAGAGAAATATCAGCTGTGCTGCTGCCATCAACACTTTTGTTTATACAAGTTGGAGAATGGCCTTTTTTTCAGTGTATTCCTGTTTCTCTGACTGTGACTGGCTGGATGTGCTCTCCTCATCCTCTGACAGTCTGGCTGTGTGTTTCCTGGAAGGGGGCCACCTTTTACAGTTGTCTTTTGTATTTCTGCTTCTTTCTGTATCTCTGCTTCTGTCTCCTTGAACCCCAGTCGGCCTCAGCAGATGGCCACTCACACTGAGCCTGGTTCTGCTGGAGGTTTCTTCCTGTTAAAAAGGAGTTTTCCTCTCCACTGTCACTACAAGCATGCTTAGTGTGAGGTGTTGCCTTTGAGTCAATAAGCTGATGCAATCAATTGGTTTTCCTTAGATAGAGAACTTTTAAGCAATTTGACTGGATGATGTGGTGAACTGTAAAACTGCCTGTAGATGACATGTGTTGTGAATTGGCGCCTTATAACTAAACTGAATTGAATTATATCCCACAGAATATAACAGGATTGTGTTTTTTATTTATTTATTTATTTTTTTTAAGTATGTAAAGTTATAAGAGAATAATGAAGCTCAAACCTTTTGTTAAATATGTTAGCATTGTCCTATAACAGCTTATAAGCTCAGGCCCTTGGAAAATGAATTAAATAAGTTTTAACACCGAGTGACAAAATTCCTCTCCTCTGTTACATTCCTGAATGGCACTGCTGATTTAAAATTTTTGCTGAGTAGAGCAGCGCGGTGCTTGAGATGACATGCTTTGTGAACTGGTGCTATATAAATGAACCGAAATTAATTGAATTGCACAGTTCCTTTCATGCCTTCTAAAACTTTCATAAAACTTTTTGTATTTTATGTTGGATATTTTCAGCCCATGTATTGAATTTAGTGCACTAGTTGATCTTGTCTCGACTTCACAGTAAGCACAGCAGAATATGGCCTTTTTTGACCTGCTGTATATCAGCCAGTCCCTAACTATTTTTTCCCTTCCATCGTGGGAGGTAGAATAGGAATTCTCTGCCCTCTGAATCTGCTGGCAGTTCATTTGCCATCTATAGAGAAGGAAAGGGTGGGAAGACATACAGCAGAAATGGTCTGCTTTTACCACTTTACCGACTTTACAGTGAAGCCACCTTTGATTCCGTGTTATTTTGCAATCTGACAGGTTTCTTGCTTACAGCTGTCACGTTGAAGTGCCCTTAGGAAAATACCTGCAGCCCTGAGGGAACAATTTGCATTTTGGTTTTTATAATATTCAAACACAGACAATTTAAAGATGTTGTCAGTGTCAGATGTCACAGTAGTAAACTTCTAAAGCGCTGCAATGCGCACCACTAAAGAAAAACTGTGCATGTGACCTTAACTAAACACAGGAGATTAAAAGGAGCCTTATTAAGTGATATAACCACAAAATACAACAAAATGCTTAATAAAATAAACAGTATATTTCAATAACTAAATTCTAATCAGATATATATTGTAGAGATAAACATAATTACTATATGCTCTTACAATTATCTAACAATGTCTCATTTTATGGATACTAATGCAGTGATGGTGACTTAGGGACGTGACGTTAGCTCACGATTGGAAAACGTTTTTCTTAGAAGAGTGATTTTTCTCTGACCTCTTTTCTAAATGGTTGAAAATGTACAGAAGATGCAGCTATATCTGTCTATAAATGTCTATTTTAAAAACATCATCATTATTTTTTTCTTGCAGGTAGACTGCACTATTTATGGTTGATGCAGGATAATATATTTCTATTTGATAACTAAGAATAAAATTGTAATTGTCCATCCATCCATCCATCCATCCATCCATCCTGATGCCTATCTCCAGCGGTCAATGGGCGAAAGGCGGGGTACACCCTGGACATGTCGCCAGTCCATCGTGGGATTTTTTCTTGATTTTAATTGAAATTGGTCTGCAGGTAGACTGCACTATTTATGGTTGAAGCAGGATAATATATTTCTATTTGATAACTAAGAATCAAATTGTAATTGTCTTCAAAAATTATTTATCTCCTCAACATGTTTTATTTTATATTGTTCTCCTAGATCCATTGTCTGCACAGTCCCTAAAACCTTGGGGTAACGTTCGAAAAAATCAGATTGTGCAACCTTTGTGTTGCAGCTCATAATTTAGAGAGACATTAAACATACTTACGTGTCACATTACAGTCAGTGGCTAGACCAGTTTGCATGGACTGCTGTTGGTTTTCAGTAAATGGGAATAGCTTTATCTAAACAGCAAGAAGTGAAGCATGCATTTCCTCTTTTTGAGTTAGCTAAGAATCCAAAAGGATTGGCATAGCTCACGAGTGTCAAGGGATTTTACAGTATTTGGCTATCACCCTTTTAGTGGCCCCACTGATCAAAGGGCAGCTGCACTCTTTTAGTCAGAATCAACAGAGGGGTGATTGCAATAAGCAAATCTTAAAAATTCAACATTGTTTAATGTTCTGCTTCTTTCATGTGATGTTTTTAAGATTCAATCATGACATTGTGTCTTCTCAGGAGAGCTCTCCTTGCAGCCTTGACATTTGTATGCTTATTATTCCACGTTTAAAAAGACCACAAAGAACCCTTAACTATTTTCAACGCTTCTGTACTAAATTTTTAATAAAGGTCAGACTCTGACTAATCAAATTAACCTAATGCAAACTTCAAGTTAATCTTTCATGCTCATAGTTAAACCTTTTCTGCTGATATCTATCTATGAGTATCTTATTTCCCATAATCTTGTTGGATTAGGTGATGTTAAAGTCAGATTATTATAAATGCCGATTAGATTTAGTTTTAAACGAATCCAACTAATCCTCATTTTGGTCTGAAACTGAATATGAACTTTTTAAATATAGGATGCTTCCAGGATTACATAGCCTTGGTTTCATTGGATCTTTTAAGTAGAGCCCAGAACTTATTTGGCATTTACTGTTTTTTTTTATCTCAGTGATGACAGAAACCATTAGAGAAGGAATGGTGGGTAGACATACAGCAGAGATGGTCTGGTTTTTCCACTTTACTAGCTTTCCAGTGAAGCCACCTGTGATTGCGTGAGATTTACAGTTGAGGTTCACCGCTTACTGCTGTCACGTAGAAGTGCCCTCAGGAAAATACCTGCCGCCCAGTGTGCAAAAAGTTTTTCATGAAATTCAAACCACAGTTTAAAGATGTCACAGTAGGCACGTTATGCTCTGAGAAAACCTGAAGAAAATTCCCTCCGCAATGCAGTATGATGTCGGATTAGTTCAAATCTGTTAAAGTATTCTCTCACTTAAACCTTTGCCTCCCTGTTATTTGCTTTGGCTAAAACTGTGTGATAACTCAAAGATTGTAACTCAAGGAGAATTTTCCCACACAGTTGAACAAGGCTATAAGAAACCATATTCTGCTGATAGGTAACAGCGCTTCCTTAAAAAACCACTGAAAAGAGAGCCATGATCTATAGTTACCAATGTCACCAGCAGGTTCTCATTCATTAACTATTAGCAATCTGAAGGATCTTTCCTTATTTGGGGTCAGACACCAAAAGGCTAATAAACTCATGAAAAACTAAGAAAAGATTTTTTGCATATGTTCTCAGCATGATGTAAAACAGGACAAAGGATTCAACCCATCAGGCTAATTTTACTAGCTTCAAGAAATTTCAGAAATTTGCTGCAAGAGGTGAGGCTAGAGCGCTAGCTTTGAGGCAAACAAAAACGGGTTAATTTAGTAATTTCTTTCTAAACGGTTGGGTTTAAATGCCACAAAGCAACACATTTGAAAGCTTTGGTTAAATCATGACAGTGATTTACACTGAAGTATAATAAAAAGGCGAAAGCAAGAAAGGTTGTTTGAGATTTTAAACAGCATTTAAAAAACACACTTAAACACATTATCAGGGATCTTAAATGTTTTAATAGATAAAATAATTAGATTTAAACATTACAGATGGAAGCTTTTAACAATCACAACAGGCTTCACAGAGAATACAAAAACACTTTATCCTCAGTTTCCTGTATTCTCATATCAAAAATAAACAGAAGAAAAGCAATTCCTCCTTCAGGGGTTTTAAGTTCATCAGTGAAAATACCAGAATAAAACTGGAATAATTCTAATTGGGCAATAGCTCATCTGTCTTAAACTTTTGCATACAATAATGTAAAAAAATATATATATGTTCATGAAGTGCAAAGGCTTTTTTCTGTATATACACACAAGATAGATACATTAAGGTTTATTTTCCTCACTCTCTTCTAATCAGGTTTTACTATAAGAAGTAGAAAAAAGTGCTTGGTCATTCAAGCTTAGTGTTTTTCATATCATTTGATTTAATCAGCTTGGCTGATAGGACCGAAACCTTTGTGTCAAAGTTAAACCTTTCAAGGAAATTAGCTAAAATTTCTTAGAATTACTGATAAAATAAATTTTTATTAAGGAGTTTATTACACAAATTACACTGTAGTTGGCTGTAGTACTCTTGTATAAATAAGTAACTGTTCTGCGTTTAAAACCACATCTGATCAAATGTAGGATTTAAGTCAGATAGCGCAGCAATAATCCAACCTCTGACAGACTACTGCAGACGGATTAAGGAATAAGCAGCAGGAACTTAAACACCTTTAAGGTTACTCAAGTTTATCACTTAGTTTTGATAAAGATAATCAAGTTATTGTAGCAATATTATCTAACAATGTCTCATTTTATGAATACTAATGCAGTGATGTTGACTTGGGTACGTGACGTTAGCTCACGTTTGGAAAACGGTTTTCTTCGAAGAGTGATTTTTCTCTCACCTCTCCTCTAAATGTTTGAAAATGTACAGAAGATCCAGATAATGTGCTGTGAATATAGTCTAACAGGCTGTGTCCAGTTAAAGCACAGAGGCCAGTAAACAGCCCTAACACAACCAAATATAAAAACAAAAAAAGACAGAAGTTAACTGTTCGTGTCAGCTGACAGATTTTATATTAAGGCTGGAAATCTGAACACAAAAAAAACAAAAGAAGTGTGCTCATTGGCTCAGAGCACAAAGCGCTGCCATCTCTGCCAGCTGTCAGTGACCGTTGATGATGCTCTGAGACGTGGATGCGGCTGATGATGGAGAGACTGGAGACGAGTTGGTGGTGCTGGTGAAGAAGTTGTCCTCTTTCAGTTTGCTGTTCTCTGGGAGATCCAGCATAACCTTGGCCTGCTCAATGTCACTGTTGATGGCTGCAATTAGGTCCTCTGATGGCACCGGTGAAAAGGCAGCAGAAGAAAAAAGGGAGTTGAATTATTTGGATTCTTCTACATAACTAGAGTAAAAATGTCTAAAGAAAACCTCTGAGTCAGATAAGCGTACCAAGTGAGGGATAGCTCTTCTCTGAGCGGATGTAGCCCACCATAACCACACTCAGCATCTCTCCATAGAAGTCTTCTTTAAACTTATGAATGATGTGCGTCTCCTAGAATCCAAAAAAATATAAAACATTTTGGTGACAAAATCTATGGAACTACTTCATCGTGTAAAGCTGTTTAGGGAAGTGCTCTCTGAGACTGCAATGCCTTCTCTGTGTGGTTAGTGGGAATAACAAACTAGAGGCCAAAAAAAACACTACTTGGCAATAAAGCCTATTCTTTTCAATGTAATAAAAAAGAAAAAGGCGTCTAAATAAACAAGAATGTGCATACCCAAGTTTTTAGTTTCTTTTCTTGTCCAGTTTTTAGTTTCTTATCCCCTCATTGATATTTTAATGCAAAACTGATCTTAGCAGTTTTTTAGTTCCCCATTAAACAAGCATAAAAATCTTAGCAAGAAGGTTCTTGGGAAACCCATCGTACAAACAGAAACCTAGTCCCTCTCCTTGGTGCACTTTGTCAGCCTTATGAAGGAAAACCCTCCTAACATGAGGATTATTTAAAATTACAAAGACAAACCACAGAATCTTCAGTACTTATGGGTAGCTTTTCATAATTTTGGCCACCGTAAAATATTTGACACCACCTTAAGTGCACAATGACCTCTTCCCTGCATGCTTTTCTGATATATTTTTTATCCATGTAACCGATGAGATCTACAGTAGGCCTTTATCCCCATTGTTACAGTCAGCTTTGCACCTACTCCTCCATCTTTTAAGGAAGATTTATTTTGTAATGCATCAGTCCTGCTGAATGCTTCTGTGAAAATGAAAATAAAACCTAGACATTTTTATTAATCGCTTAATCTCTCCCAGAAAAATAAATAAACAAAGAAAATAAACTTTACTAACTGTCCTCTAGCCTAAGTTTTTCATGTATCAATATTTATTATTATCTTTGTTTTGATGCAGAATAAAGCTTAACTTAAAAATCTGTTTTCTAATTAAAACAGTTTTTAAAGGCAACATATACACACACACACACACACATATATATATATATTAAATGTTTTATTTTCATTTGGTTTACTCTGAGAAATACTGTTCTAAATGGAATGGAACGGAGAAGTGAATTATACAACTGTGGATGGAGATATGTCTAATGACCACTGGAACGCCATCAGTTTAAAAAAGAAGAAATACCACATTCCATCTAGCAACTGCAAAACGGTTTTAAAGTGAGGGTGGTTTCTTTATGATCTTAACGTCTTGGATAAAAGCCAACCAAAGTTCTTCCTACCATGGATTTCTTTGTATTTTTGTAGTAAGGGTTCCAGCCGATGCTCATCACCATTTTGTAAACATCGCCATTCCCGACACAAGCCCAGCCATAATATATTCCTGTGCTAATATCTGCTGGAAGATTGTCCACCACCGAATCTGGGAAGTTGGCTGGAGATACGAGAGAAGGGACAGAGGGAGGGAAGAGGAATAAAAACAAAATAAAAGGCAGAGGTAAGCAAGCAGATTAACAATGTGGCTTATAAAAAGGTTGAATTTAGGCGTTTCTGCAGGGGAACAAGTATATTTCTAATTAAAACCAGAGTTAATCTAGAAAAGATGCTGTTTGCAAGTCTGTGTTATTTGGTTTGCTTTAGATCTATTGTGACCCAGCAGTGATAAAAAGCGTGCTTTACAAAGATATTCTACTATATTATGGAAAATAAGACAAGAGAAACCTCTGAGCTCAAGAAAAATAAATTGCAACTGTCTCTTGTTCTGCTCATTTTTGTTACTAAACAATTTAACATGCAGTGGTTACAAGTTTTTGAACCAACTTTTATAGCCTGACTTTATGGCTGTACATGTAGGCTGATAATAACTAATAAAGTATAATGAGAAAACTGAATCACTGACAAGAGTCATCGAATTTTGATCAGTGTGAAGTTAACTGAGTAAATAAGGCACCAGGATTTATCTGGAGAAGCTGGCTGCCCTGAATAACTTGCGTGTTACCGCTTTGGTTAAACTGACGCCCATCTTTACCAGAATATCTGTAAAATCCCTGCTTTATCTGCTTACTTGGTTTTGTGAAAACAGCCCTCAAATATCCCGAACATCATGTAGTAATATATGCCTTTAACAACAACAAAAATAGTCTTAAATACCTTGGGAAATATACAACTTGATGTTTTCAACTTCTATTGTGTTCAAAGCTACGGCCTCTGGATCCTTTAATTATTGTTCGATATTTGGGAACTTATGTTAAATCCTGTAAATGCTTTATTGTGTAAAGATGAATTTGTTCCTGTTTTCAGAGACTAGGGCAGTCCTAGAGAGAGCTAACTGGTATGAAGAAAAAAATTAAAACGTATCACAGAGAAGAAAAATAACTATTGTTAGAAAAAGAAAAAATGTTAAACTTATACAATGATCATGAAGAGCATTATCTATAAGGTGACCAGAGTTCTTCACTCTAATCTGGGGACATTTCCAGCTCATAGATAAAAATAAATATATTTTATGAAAATTAAAATAGGAAATGGGGATGGTGATGTTTTCATCCATTTTTACAAATTTATTTATATTTAAATATAACGTTAAATAAATAATAATAATAAACAGGTGTGAAATGCAGAAATGTTCCATTTCTTAAGATAAATAATATTAATCAATCAATAGTGTTTATTAGTGACATTCAGTGTTCTCTGTCTTCTTCCCTTGTGTGCAACAGAACATTGTGTTCAGAGACAGGAAAGTTTGCATTAATACAGTCTGTGGGAATTTTTTCATTCCAAAAAATTTAAATGAAACTTATATATATATATATATATATATATATACATACACAAATTGAAAAACATATATATTTTTTCCAACAAAATGATAACTATAAAATGAAATGGCTTCTAGTAGTTTCTACTGTATCCTGGACAGCTGGATGGGGTAGCCTCTAGCAGCCTGGATTTAAATCTGTGTCACTATTAAAAAAGTGATGTTCGATTGTTATTTTCAGATTAAATTACAACAATGAAATCATCTATAAATCTGGATCATTCTTATGAGCCGCTTGAAGCAGCCCCACCAAAAAGTTCTGTCCTTTAATAAATTTATAGTGAAATCTAACAGGAATATATTTTCACAATCCTTTTTTCTATTCACAGATACAGCTCTGCTTTTTTTTTTTTTTTTTGTTAAATAAACTGTTATTATTTTTGATAGGATGTAAATGTAAAGATGATATAGTCCTAGTTATCCCTGTTACAAAAATCCATAACAAAAAGAACATATTTGGGCAGAAGGTGGTTTTCCAGCTGCCGTCACCAGTTGATCTCCTCCCCAGTTGATCTGTCACACCTGTGACCTGTAACGTTTAACTTGTGTCTGAGATCTCTGCGTCACGTAAGCGTTGCAGATGATGTCACTGACCCCGTGACAGGGACCGCAGGAGAAGTCTCATGGTGCTTTTAGGTGCTGTGAGAAATAAAATGAATAAAAAGCACGGATTTATGTTTGAAATATGACGCTGACTTCTTTTTCTTCGTTTCTGAACCTGATGAAACGGGTTCCAATACGTGTGTATTGGAGAGATGAGTGGCTGTCTCTGAACCATTTTTAATAAAAGTTATTAGGTTTCCACATTGGTTATATCGCTGCACCGTGACGCCACCTCGTGGAGTGAAAATGAACTGGTTTGAGAGAACAGGTAATTGTAAATAAAGTTCTGTCAAGCTTCACTACAGTATACATCGCTAAATCAAGCAAATATGCACATGCTAATAAGTAAAAATATGATAAAATAGCTCCTTGTTTTGGCCGTTTTACACACCTTTACCAACATCATGCTTACAAAGCAGTATAATTAACAGTGCTGAAATGCATTTTATAATTACATAGACTGTAATAAAAGTAGCTTTGCATACTGCAGTTGGTTCTATTTCCCGTTCAGACTGTACTATAATAAAACCAGTACAATATTTCTTCTTCTGCTTATTCATTCATTCATTATTGTTTGAAATGTTTCAGTTGAGTTGTTGCCTCTGCATTTTCCCCCCAAAGCATGACTGGTTGCCAATACTACCCATTTACTTTGCGAAAATTAATGGGACTCATAATCTTAATTTGAGTCTTACATTGAATCTAATCTGACAGCTTAAAAAAATAAATTGACACATTGTCTTAAAGCCAGTCAATCCATCTAAAACTGTAGTCTGAGGTGGCTGATGACGAGGGTGCAATCATTTATATATATGTATATACATATGTATACATATATATGTAAATATATGTATATATAACTATATATGGAATAGAATAGAGTATCCCTTTACTGTCCCACAATGAGGAAATTCTGGTGTTACAACAGGAAACAAATGTAGATCACTTAAAAGTGTAATAGTGAGGAGTAAAAAAATAAACACATAAAAATACTGTACTGTTTTATAGCTGCTGGGAGGAAGGGTCTGTGATAACGCTTCCTGGAGCATGTAGGGTGCAGCAGTGTGTCACTGAAGGAGCTCTCCAGTTCTGCAACAGCTTCTTCCATGGTGTGGGAGACATTATCCAACAGAGATGTTATTTTTAGTAAGGATCCTTTTGGTTCCCACCTCCTGCACTGAGACCAGAGGGCATCCGATCACAGATCTGGCCTTCCTATATATACATATATATATATATATATATATATATATATATATATATATATATATATATATATATATATATATATATATATATATATATATATATATATATATATATATATATATATATGTATACATATACATAGATCGGTCGAGGCAAGGTCTGCTGTTTTATAAGTATGACTGTGTCTAAAGCATACAAGACAGGGGGTCCCAAGAACCTAAAGAGCTAGATGATACGGAGGAGGACTGGGAAAACGGTGATGCAGTTTGATTGGATAAAAAAGAGTTTTATTTTATTTTTTTATCTTAACTTAAGTATTTGGAAGAAGGATAACTATAATACCAATGCAATCCTTCCTTCCTTCCTTCCTTCCTTCCTTCCTTCCTTCCTTCCTTCCTTCCTTCCTTCCTTCCTTCCTTCCTTCCTTCCTTCCTTCCTTCCTTCCTTCCTTCCTTCCTTCCTTCCTTCCTTCCGAAGTAATGAAACCCAGGCTTTTATTTGCATCTGTCACTTCGCTGTGCAAAACTAGATTTTTCTTGTATTTTTCATTTATATGCAGTTGATTCTGTTCCCCATAGCATGAAAAAAGCTCAGAGGTTTGGTGCGTGTATCTTTTATGTTAGAGTTGGGTTTGGCCTGAACAAGTCTCCAGTCCATATAGGGCTATTTTGATGATGACGATTCGTATAAAGTCATGTCACATACTATCTAACTAACTATACAAAAAAAAAAAAAAAAAGATTTTTTGGCATTTAAGGAAGTGGTTAGATCATTGCGCTTGGGTTCCTCAGGTCACGAGCTCAACTCCCGCAGAGGGCCACGCACCCTGAGCAAGACCCTTATAACCTCACTCTGCTCCCTGGGCGCCGCACCCTGACAGCCCACCGCTCCCCAAAGGGATGGGTTAAATGCAAAAGTGAGTTTCTCCATTGTGAGATCAATAAAGTTCCTAAATGTAGGCCTAATATGTCCTTTAAAATTAAAAGCACTATACAAAAGAAAATGGACATATACATATTTCTGACTACTGCACCATTGTATGAACCACACACTTTTAGCAGCTTTCAATGATAGGCCTATACACAATGATGGCTGCTAGAGCTTGGAATCCTGAGGTTCTGGGTTCGAGCCCCACTCCCAGAGTCTGCCACTCTGGGTCCCTGAGCAACACCCTTAATCCCGGGGCGCGAAAGGATGGCAGCCCTCTGCTCCCCAAGGAAATGGGTTAAATGCAGAGGTCAATTTCTCTAATGGGACATCAATAAAGTTCAGTTATTATTATATGATTTAAACTGTTGCAGAGTCAACTTCAAACGATGATGCTCACAGGATAAACATGTTTTATTCCTCCTGTTAATCTGATCATTTTGGCACACTTTTAACCAGCGCTGTGTGATCACTAGAGGCACACTGCTTCTTCTCATTCTGCAAATAGGGAAGTGACAGAGATGGTGTGAGAAGCGCGCAGGTAAGAGGCACGTTTGTCTTTAGCGGATAATAAAAACAAAATAACAATTATAATATATTAGGTTTGATGATGATCTCTCTAAAAGATTTATGAAGGTAATGTCAAGATCTGAACTCTTGTCATTGCGCAAAAAGTTTTGGAGCATTTTTCATCCTTGCTCAGACTTTAAATAACTTTTATGATGCAAATAAATAGCTGTACTTTTCACGCCAATATTACATCATATAATGCTGCACATTTCTGTGGCATAAATCCAACGCTCACGCGTTTAGTTAGTTTGCCCCACGCCGGATTTGCTGTTAAAACTATTCTTTTTGGTTTAATCTCTTATTTATGAGAGATGATGTCGACATGTGGGAAACTGCCCCGTATTTAGAAACACAAGTATGCATCTAATTAA